CCCCCGCCAGGCCCCTGCCACCAATGCAGAGTGCCCGCCCTGTGCCCTGGCTGGGCCCCCGCCCGCTCCCCAGCCCCTGCCAGGAGACACCAGCTTCTACAGCCTTGCACCTCTGCCTCTGCCACCATCCTCCGAGCCCCCCGAGTCCCCCTCAGCCTCTCCGAGCCCCCAGGCTGTGTGCTGGCCCAGTGGCTGGCACTAGCTCTGCCTGGCGCCCTGCCTTCCTATTCTCATGCAATAGCAGTCACCAATGGGCGGCCACAGCCCAGAAAATGCTTTGGCTCCCTTGGGCTCCTCCTCCTGGGGCGAGGGCCTAGCCCCCCTATCTGCCGTTTTTCTTTTGACTAGGATGGGGGAAATGAACCCCCCCCCCCCCCCAACAACAGAACACACACAGAGCAGGCAATTATTTATTTGTTTTTAATTTATTTTGTCATATTTTTGTAAAACGGCAGAAATGCAATAAAAAGTATATTTCAACAGTGCCTGAGGACAGAGCAATGGAAGTGGGGCTCACAGGGCCCAGGGACTTGAGGCTGACACTGACTCTTGGGCCTGGTGAGCCTGAGGTGGATGCTCCTCCTATCTTGTAACCTTGGCGCCTCCTCCTAAGAACTGGGTCTGGAGGCCACAGGAAAAACTCCAAACTGTACCACCTCTGAGACGGCCCAGATTTGGAGCCGACTCCAGGCCACTGGGAGGAGCTACTGAGCCTCAAGCCTGCTGTGCCTTCAGCCTCCTAAACAAAGGAAGAAATCACAACGAGCTGGAAGAACTCAGCTGTTTGGGTGCCAGGCGGGGGTCCTGAGTTAGCTGCAGCCCTGCAGGGTGACAGGGGTGATTGTCCCCTTTATCTGCTGCACTTCCTGGTACACCCACCTCCCAGGCTGCCATTCGAGGAGCTAGGGGCAGTGGGAAGAACTTGGGGCGTGAAAATCGGGAGGCACCTTGCTCCCTGCTCCCGAGCTGAAACGTTCGGGGGATGGTGCCTTTCGGAGCTCCCTGGACAGACAGTGGAGTGGGGAGTGGCCAGGATGTCCCACTGCAGAATGGCTGTCAGACCCAAGTCACTGGGACTTCACTGTGTGATCAGGGATGGATGTGGCCTCTCTTCAAGCCTCCTTCCGTCCAAAGGCTTGGAGCCTGAATGGGCCCCACCCAGAGCTGGGGGAGCCAGTGTGAGGAAGGGGCTCTGTGGAGGGACATGAAAGAGAAACGGGTTCACTGGAGGCAGGAGATCAGCCTGTGCGAAGGCACAGAGGTGTGGGAAGGCAGAGTTTGGTGTGTGAGGGAGCAGAGGAAGGAGGGACCCAAAGGCAGGAGTGGGCAGCTGAGGAGCCTACACCCAAAAGATCTGGGTGGAGAATGACCGTGGGACCCCCACTGTGGACAGCATGATGCAAAGGGGAACCAGGCCGAGGAGGCGAGGGTGCGGGTGCTGCCTGCTCCTGCTCTGCCCCACCCCAGGGCTTTGAAGCTGATGTCCCGACAGCTTCTCAGTCACTAACAGTTAGCAATGCCCCCTGCCTGCCAAGGTCAGACCAGCCCCTGGGCCCGGGATTCCTAGCGGGTCAGAGCGCTTCCAGGGACTCGGCCACCTCTGCACAAACCATCACGTGGCATTTCCTGAGCACCTGCCTTATGACCACAGGGACCCAACCCTGAGCCCATGGTATGAACACCGCCCAGAATGGGAAGCAAAACCCCTTGGCCCCATGACACAACGGGGTGGCCTACCCTGGAACCTGGTGCTGGGCAGCCCAAGCCCAAGCAATCTATCCTCCATGAAGATAATCTGGGGCACGCACCCCCTCCAGCTCCATGGCCCAACCTCTCACCACCCTCTAATACCACAGCCCCCACTCAGGGCTGGTGGAGGGAGAAGCAGCCTTCCCCTGGGTCCTGGGCCCAGTGTTCAGGACCTCAAACCTGCCTGGAGCCTGAATGCCCCTATGTTCCTCTGCACTCCGTGTGCCTTCTCTTGGAGCCACGGGCTCGTGAAACCAGGCCGCCTGGGCTGTCTCCACAGTGCCACCCTGCTTGTCAAATGTCCTGGGTGTGGGATCCACCACAGCTCTGTCCTTGCTGGTTGGACTGTCTTTCAGGGGCGTCCTGATCCTCAGGGACACTTGGCAGGTCAAGCAGAAAGGTGGGTCCAGGCAGGTCTTGGCTCTGAGCAAGATGGCTGCAGCAAGCCCACAAGAGGATCCAGCTGGTCTTGGGGCCACTCTTGGCTCCTCTTGGTGATGATGGAACAACTCTCAGTGCCTCCATCCTCTGAGGCTGAGGCACGTGGAGCAAAGACTCAAGATCAAGTAGGAAAGATCCTTTTATTGGGGTGGACACTGAGCACGCACCAGTCCATGATAAAATGACTTAAGAGAATGATCCGAAAGGGTTGACTTCTTCCTGTGGCGTACTCTCAGAGCAGGGTCCGGCACGGCATAGATCCCGGTGGACCGGGCGTCAAGGCCAAGTCTTTAAGGCCGGACCAGGGGATGGAAGCGGGAAGAAGGGCCCCACCCCTGTCACCCAGCTGCAGCAGGGCTTATCTCTAGACACTCGAAGACACACTCTGGTTCTCCAGAGAAGGACTGGGGAGCAGGAGGAGGGGATTTGGGGTGGGGTGGAGTAATGAATAACAATGTTGTTTTTCAAGAAGCATCTACCAACATCACACTACTGGGTCTGACATCCCCTTTAACCATCGCTCGGTACATTTTACAGCATAAATAAAGACTCAAGGAAAATAAATACATCGGCTCCTATGAGGTTGAAAGTGGTGTGCATGGCGGGGTGTGGGTAGGCGAACCAGTGGGGAGGGTGGGCAGGATGCTTACACACGGCAGGCGGGTGAGGAGCAGACAAGACAGGAGGCACCTATGGGGGAGCATCAGTCTTAAGTGTCCTCGTGCATGTCTGGGCTGTCGGTCCGTGCGACCTTGCGGGGAGGCGCTGAGCTCTCGCCCTCGAGGTCCACTTGCTCCTGGTCTCTCTTCTTGGCAGCGTTCTGGGGGGTGGGGAAGGAGAAGGGCTGTTGAGACTGCACTTAGGTGACTTCTCCAAATCCTGCTGCAGGGGTCACAGGCATGGGCTTGGAGCAGGGCAGTAAACACAGGGCCCTGGTTGGGCAGCCCCTCCCACCACCGGACCTGCCCCACTAAGCCACAGTCCCTGGAGCTCTGGGCCCGTAATGGGCACTGCAAGTAGCCACCATGGTTCACAATGACCACATATGGCCCCAAACGCTCGGAGGAGCGATGCACTCTGCTGAAGCACAAAGGGCCCTTTGAGCCCTCGGAGGAGCCCAGGCCTTGCCACAGGAGAGGAAAGTGGTCCCAGTGTGGGAATCCCTGCTTTCCCCACTTTGGGGAATTAAAGCCTGTGGGGCCGAGGAAGGGGCCAGTGTGGGCAAGGAGCTTGCGTTTTCTAAGCAGTTACTTCACCATGGGGTCCCCCTTCCGTCTTTCCCAGAGCAGGCTGCTATCAGATGTCCAATGTTAGGTGAGAAAACAAACTGAGCTCGTTATAAAACAACATGCAGAGCCTGGACGGCGTGGCTCAGTTGGTTGAGCATCATCCCAAGCACCGAGAGACTGCCGGTTGAATTCCTGGTCAGGGCACACGCCCGGGTTGCAGGCTTGATCCCCAATAGGGGGCATGCAGGAGGCAGCCGATAGATGTTCCTCTCTCTCTCTCTCAGGTCAATAAAAATATATTTAAAAACAACAACATGTAGAGATTTTCAACAAAGAAGGAGAAAAACATCCTGCATGTTAAAAAGGCAGCCTCTTGGGGGGAGGAGAGATGACTTTCCATGGCAGCCACAACCTCTAGAATGGCCTGGATTTTAATCACGTGTATTTTTTACCACTAAACAAAGATTCCAAATAACCGCCCTGACCGGTTTGGCTCAGTGGATAGAGCGTCGGCCTGCAGACTCAAGGGTCCCAGGTTCGATTCCGGTTAAGGGCATGTACCTTGGTTGCGGGCACATCCCCAGTGGGGAGTGTGCAGGAGGCAGCTGATCGGTGTTTCTCTCTCATCTCATCGATGTTTCTAACTCTCTATCCCTCTCCCTTCCTCTCTGTGAAAAATCAATAAAATATATTAAAAAAAAAAAAAAAGATTCCAAATAATCACACTAGAATCATTCTGCCGCCAGGACTGTGCAGGCTGCAGGCTGTGGGAGCTGCCCGAGCCTTGGAATGGCTGGCCAAGGCCCTATCCATCCCTGAGCACGAGCTCTGTAGCCTCTACACAGCCATTCCCTCCTCTGAAACGCTGCTCCCTCTCCTGGATCGCCTATCAAACTCCTATTCAGCCCTCAAGACCCATCTCCCAGACCCATGTCCTCCCCCCACTCAAAGCCCCTGTGCTGGGCACTGTGTCTCCCCTGAGTCCCAGCACCGGAACCCCATGTGCCTTACCTTTTTGTCCCATTGCTGATGTAGGTAGCGCAAAAGGATGTTTGTTTTTTCTGTCACGATGACTGAGGAGAAAAGACAAAGTTGCAGGGAGAGGCTGCAGAGAGAGACTGCAGATGGCCCAGCCTCCCTCCTGGCCAGCACTGCCCCTCCCAGGACAGTGCTCCTCCCTCCTTGGCCTCTGAGGCCACCTCTGCCCTGAGTGGCCTTTCTGGCACTCAAGTCAGTACCCCAACCGAGGAGATTTCAGGAAGCCCAGGGTTTTCCCTCCTAAGCCCAGGGGCCCGAGCCAACTGCTCTAGGGTCCCTCCTTCTCAGAAATGCAGAGTCCATTACTGCATTCGGTTTCCACCCTGCAGTGGGGAGGAGCTCTGGCTGCAGACTCACGCGTGTGTCTTCCCAGGCCAACCGGGAGCACAGATCTACATAGCTGAGCCCTAGTGACCACAGAAGCCAACCAGCTGGGTCCATGTGGATTCTTTTTCATGGTTAAAATAAAACTCCATGGCCATGGTGACCTCCCACTTGGCAGGCTCCGCAGACCCTCCACCTGAACAACCCCTCCCCATGCTGTCCACCCCGAGTTGGGCTGGGTCCCTAACCCATAGTACTCGTGTTTTGGGGTGTCATGGAGCTGACCAGTGTCCCACAAGACACCTCCTGTACCACCCTCTATCCTCTCCTCTTAGTAGCCTGGATGAGCTAAGTCACACAGAGAACACTTACTCTGTTCAGATGGGTACTCGCGTGTGGGCAGGTAGACTGAGGGGCGTCGATTCTGAGGGAGGGTCCAGAAGAGGTGGGTTAGGAGTGCGGGTTGACTAGGGTCCCCTCACCCCTTGACCCGGCATCCACCCTCCAACACAGACCAGAAGATGCACAAAGACTTTAGGTGAGGTCAGGCTTAAAGATCGGCCCCTGTTCCCAGCGAGATGCTGATTGGGGTGGTGCACATTACCCCCAGCCCCCTCTCCCCACAGGTCCCTGAACCTGCACTCACCGAGGCTTTACACACAGAGTCAGCATGAAATCGACTAAAATTGCTTTTGTTGTAGACTGGCAGTCCTTTCAAAAAATCTGCCTGAAAGACAGAAAAAATAGTGAGAAACCCTGCAAGGGCCAGCCCTGGAGCACCTGCGGTGGTGGACAGGCTTCCGGGCGACTCCCAGGTTCCCTTTCTGATCTGCTGTACGTTTCCCGGAAGACAGGCTTGAGTTGGCCACCTGATGTGTACACTGCTATAACCGGAGACAAGCAACCACCCCGGGGAAGTGCACCTTCTACCTCAGAGTCCTTACAACAGAGCTGTACCCTGGCAAGGGGTAGGGAAACTGAGGCTCAGAGAGCACGGCCATCTGTTTAGAGTCATACCCGAAGCAAGCAGCAGGCTGGGGGGACAGACCAGGCCCGTCCAACTGTAGATCTGTCCTGTATGCTTGTTGGATGTGAAACTCCCGGCCTTGTCTCCGTTTACTCACCTTTAATAGACACCCAGAGGAGAACGGCTTGTCCACCCTAAGAAACCCCAAGGGCCAATGTGACAATAAATGGGGGTGGGGACCAGAAGCCTGGGTGAAGAGGACAGGGTGGCCAGGACACAGAACTGGGAACCCAGGATTCTGAACTGCAAGAAAACTCAGAAATCCAACTTCAGTATGTCAGCGTCAGGTTTTCAGAGTTGGCTGGACTTTCCCTAAAGCTCTGTGCAGCTTGGAATCAGCTCAGGGGCGGCTCCTGGGGTACCCACACCTAATGGCTTCCCCACGAAGAGGGGAGGCCTCCCAGGGTGAGGGCCAGAGACAGAAAGCAGGCTGTTCCTCCCTGCCACCCGCTGCCGGGGGCAGAGACTCCGTGCCACAGGTCTCAGGCCCACAAGGTGCTGGGGAGCCGGCAACAGAATTCATTCACTGCCCAACTCCTGAAAAGTCCTTTGTCCCTGACACTCTGGGGTCAGCTGAGCAAGGGCGATGGCTCTGGGGCAGGAGCACCCTGACCCTGGGGGAAGGAGCACCCTGACTCTGGGGGCAGGAGCACCCTGACTCTGGGGGCAGGAGCACCCTGACCCTGGGGGCAGGAGGGACGAGACGGAACCACAAGATGGACAAATAAAGGCCAATGAGGCCATGTCCACCTCAGGAAACTGAGGCACGAGAGCAGGGGTGTGCAAGGGGAGGAATAAGGCCGAGAGCTGTGGCAGGGAGTGACTGCCAGGACAGCGGGAGTGCAGCACTGTCATCGTGCCTGGGATGGGACGGCCTGGCCTGGGCCAGGAGCTTCCCCATCTGGAATCACTCTCACAGGATGAGGAAACTGAGGCAGAAAGGTCACATGGCACTCATCTGAGATCATGTGGCCCCAACGAGAAAATGAGGAAGGCGGTTTGAATCCAGGTTTGCCCAACCTCAGAAGCCAAGCTCCTGCTGTGTGACATGCCAGTAGCTCAGTTTTCCTGTCTGAAATCCAAGGGCTCGGAGCCCCAAGAGGCTATAATAACCATCCCCTGGGGGGGCGGGCTGTCCATCCCCATGCCTGAGCCTAGATGCTGCACCCTTGGGGAAGCCGCTGTTCAGATCTGCCCCCACCATCTGGGGCAGGCAGGAGCAGGGGTCCTCACCTCTGGGGGAGCCCCAACGAGACCTTGGGGGGGACAAGCCTCCCTGGAGGTGGCTCTCTCACCTGGGTGACCTACTCCTCCAAAGCCACTCAAAGCCCCTCAACCCTGCCTTCCCTTACCCAGGACCCTCTCCCACCTCGGCCTGAGACTAGGGGGCCAGCTTCATGCAGCCAGACCAGGCTTTCCCCAGCTCCTACTATGAGGCAGGCCTGCACCAGGGCACTGAGAGGGCGCAGCAGACCTGCTCTTGGCCCTAGGAGGACCCAATGCAGGGGACGCAGGTATGGGCCAAAGAGCTGCACAGTGAAGGCAAATGGCCCTGGGGACAGGGTACGGGGTGGTGTGTGAGGCCCAGACAGTGGAGAGTAGTCTGCTGGTCTTCGAGGGTGTGGGGAAGGGAGGAAGGGCTGCCGAGCAGCAATGACACGGCACCGAGACTTGACTCGTGAGGAGTGGTCCTGGTCCTGCCTCAAAGCCTTCATGGCTCTGGCTGGGCTTGGGCCCCACTGGCCTCCTGCCACACACACCTTCAGCCCAGCCTGTGCCACCACCCAGGCACGCTGCTCCTTACTGCACGTGGGAAACAGCTGCCTAGCTCCACACCCCCTGCCCTGCCCTCTGCACACCCTCAGGGGCCTATGCTGGAGCCACGTCCATGCCCCAAGGAGGCCATCTGTCTACGTGTCCACCTCCTTCCCTGGACTGGCACCCCCTAAGGGCAGAGGGCAAGGCAGGGCTAACTCCACCTGAGCCTGAGGGCTGACATGGGGCCAGCAAGAGTGGTGAGAACACACCGTCCCGGCTGGGCTCCTCCCGGGCTGTGGGACCTGGCAGCCTCTCCAGTGAACGGGCAGTCACAGCAGGGCCCCCTCCCAGGCGTGTTCTGAGTCTCAGTAAGACAACAAGGGAGAGAGCTGTGCACAGAGCTCCCTAGAAGGCACCTGTTAGCATCAATGCATTTGTGCTGAATAAACCTATGAAGACAGGATTCTGCCTGTACTTCCTGTCAGCTTAGTGGGACAACAAGGCCTCAGACACAGGGAGCAATCCTCACCTCAGCAGACGAATCCCAGCCACAGCTGGGCCCGCAGCCATGCACGGCCTCAGCGGACACTCACTGAACATCGGTGTCAACCCCCTTTCGAGGAGCCCAACAGAAACCCACCCAAAGCGGGATGAGGAAGAGAGTGGTGTGCAAAGAGAGACACTGAGGCCACCGTCACGGGCCCTGCAGCAGGTGATGCTCACAGGGGAGAGCTCCAAGCAGCAGAGCAGCACATGCGAAGGCATTCTTTGAAGGCACAAAGAATGCGGAAACAAGGCCAGTGAGGCCGGGCAGGGGCCTGGCTGCAGGGCTTATCTGGTTACAAAAGGAAGACCCTGGAGTGTTTCTCAAGGTAGCAAGTGTTAGAATCTGATTTACATCTTCAAACCCTCCCTCTAGTGCCAAGTAAACTGCGATCTGCCTGAGGGCAGAATGGAGGCCAGGAGACCAGGGAGGAGGCTGGGGCAGGCAACCAGGCAGGGGGTGGCAGTCCCG